GGAAGCCCAGACAGCCCAGTGAGGACCAAAGCTGCTCAGTTGCCATAAAATGCTGAAGACCTTTTGAGAGTGAGCAAGAGATGTACATCATTGGCCACCTCTGGCAGTGTTAAAACTATGCCCCATTGTTCATTATTTTCATGGTTAAATAGTTAATAGTAATAATAATAATAGTTTATTCTTTATACCCCACCCATCTGGGTGGGTTTCCCCAGCTACTCTGGGCGGCTCACAACAGAATTAATAATAATAATAATAATAATAATAATAATAATAATAATGTGATAAAACATCAGACATTAAAAACTTCCCCAAATAACCTGCCTTTCTTCCACTGTGCAATTCACATGATAGCACACATAGTTTCAGGTTGTGCTTACGTAACTATTTTTGATATGATTCTTAATGTTCTTTTATATGCCAATGGTTATTACTGTCTCCGAAGGGACTCGTGGCAAAGGCAGTGGCACAGACAGGTAATATAAACACATAAACCATTAACAGTGTTTTGTCTAAATAAAAGGTTTTTCATATATTACTAAAATTAAATCATTATCACATAGTAGCATATGAGCACCAACAGATTCCCAGCTGTAGCTAAACAATCTGATTCTTAAATTGGGTCTTGTTGGATCTAGCTGTGTCTTCTCCACCTCAGCCTCTTCAAATAAGTGCCAGAAAGATAATTGCTGGTCCTTATAAAAACAAAACAACAACCCATAAAATAATATAAAGGAGGCAGAGTACTTGTAGAGTCACCCATTCTCTCCAGCCTTCTTTCCCATCCTTTTTACCAAATCTCTTGTACAAGTTAAAGAGATCTGTTCTGAGCCCCTTGCTAAATGGGCGACTTCTCTCTCTTGTCACCATTTCCTTATTTTTATGAAATAATCTTTAGAATGTTATTGTGAAGTGGTGTTGTTGGAGCAAGCAGCTAGGCTAGATGAGGAAGGGCCATAGTTTAGTGGTAGAGTGCCTGTCTTGCACACAGGAACTCTCCAATATCCCCAGGTTGGGTTGGAAGAGACTCCAAACCTGATTCATACCCTGGAGAGCTGCTGCCAGCCAGTGTAGACAGTACTGAGCTAGATGGGCCAATGGTCTGACTCGGGCTGCAGCTGCGTTCCTCCAGACTGTGACCATCTAAACCAACCTTAAGAGAGCAAAATGCAGTAACTGTCTTCCAGAGAGAAGGTTCATATAGTGGTAAAGAAGCTGTTTCTAATATGCGGGAATGGGCTGTGTTCCACTATCATTTACATCTCAATAGTTCTGCACACATATGCAGCAAAGGTTCCTTTTTTGCAATGCATCGCACACCCTCGGTGCTCAGCCGAGTGCAATTGACTTGGCCTCGGCAATCATGGAGCAGGTGACTCGATTATGCTGAAATCAGGCAGAAAATGTCCTCTTCTGGCTACTCAAGTGAATCAGTCAAATTATCAAGTGGCAAAACCAATCTTAGGCCTTGGGCCATTGAAGCTGCCACTTCCTATAAGTCAAGCCTGCATTTTAGTGTGAAATTGTTTTCTTTCTTTTCTTTAAAAACAAAACAAACCCACTTTCATTTATTATGCTTATTTCAGCTAATCTGTTTAGCAAATATGAATTCATCACCCCCCAGGAGTCACTTCAGATGTACAATCTTCTCTGGAAGCTGTACTGAAATATCAGAGGGCCTGTCGCTGCCAATTTAGTGAGTGTCCAATCTAGGGATGACCTAAATAGAACAGAATTTCAGCGGTTTGTTTTGGGTTTGGTTCATCTTACGGCTTTATTTTATTTTATTTGCAAAAGGCTAAAAAATGGAGAGAGGAGATAAGGGGTGAAAATGGTATAATTCCGAGAGGGGGTATACAACAACTCATATTTTATTTATACACAGCTCAATTCTAACAATGCCTACTCGGAAGTAAGTCCGATTGAATTCAGTGAGGCTTACTCCCAAGTAAGTGGGGTTAGGATCGCCAGCATTATTCAGTTGTTGGCATCTGTATAGTGCTTTCTAGTCAGTGAACTCAAGGCAGCCTGCCGTTTAAATTAATGGCATGCTATCTCATAGATGGGAATCGAAAAGGAAAATAAATAAATGAGTGGAACGATTATGAGGAAAAAGGAACAAAGTGAAGTCTCAGTACCTAAAGAATGATGCATCCTTTTGGTGACAGCGCATGTGAATAGGTGAGGAGTCCAATGGCAGTTGGTCATGTCACACCCAGGCCAATGGAGGGGGCTCACTGTCTCTTGCTTGTCCATGATGTAATCATCTCAATAGTTCTTGACACAAGTGGAATAGCTGCTGTGGGTGGCAGTTCTGGGAGGGTGGGAGCAAAACAGCAGCTGGTCCCAGCTAAGCACATAGTCTAGGTGCTGCTATTTCGCTTGTAACCAGGTGGAGAGGGGAAGCCAAATGCCATGCCACTACAGCAAGCCTTGCTGTCTCAGCTGCCCCTCTGATGTGGCCAGGTTGAAAGGCTGCTGGTGGAGGGAGGTAGTTCTCACTTTGAAGAACCTTTCTGCTATTAATGGTGGGCTTTTAAGGACTTGTCCTCATGCCTGTAATGTTCATAGTGATGTAGTCAGGGGAGGGAAAGGAATCAGGCATCTGCAGTGGCTGAGTGACTTACACTTGCAGTGGATCCTAAGCCTAGGATTTAAGGGAGTTTCAGCAAGCCAAGGGAGGTAACTGTAGGGAAACCAACCAGACCAGCAAAGAAATTTCTTAACCAAAGATATTCATATGTCATGTGATACTCTCTGACCCATTAACATACTTCAAGTTTAGACTTGCCACAGCCTTGTCCTCTTACCCCAGCTTGACACAAGCTCACCCTGACAGTTTCTGATGAAGGATGATGGGGGTGGGGGTAGGAACCCAACAACATCTGGAAGACACTACATTGAGGATAGAGGAAAGTTTCAGAAAGGTGAAAAAGGAGGCTGATAGGTTTCAGCTGCTGCACAACAGAACCCAGTGGAAGAGGCCTTTGCTCCTGGTCCAACCACTTGTGGGTGTGTCTCTCAAAGCCCCCCACTTCCACTAAACACTTGTTAATCCCATGGTTCTGAGAAGCAAAGGTTGCTGTTGACGCGGGCCAGCCATTGCTCTGAAAGAGCGGGTGTACCTGAAACAGTAATCGTGGCTTTCCACTCTATTATTAAATTAACTGCATAGGGATTGCTCCCCCTCCCCATTTCCTCCTGTGAGTTGATGCATAAATGACATAATTTACCCTCCAATAAATCTAACATCAGATCAGGCCATGGCGCAGTGTACACATACCCAGCAGTCCCATGACAGATTATTTTTGATTGCTTCAGGAGTTTACAACAGCTTGAAACCATTCAAATTTAAAGACATCATTGAAATTTTACAGTGTTCCTAACTCATGCAACAAGCAGACATAGGCCAGCCAGAGGTTTTCTGGAACAGTAGGAGCTGCTGTTAGGTGGTGTCATTCAGGAGAAGGGGTCTGGATCTGTGAGTGTCAACAATTCCAGATTCTCCTCTAGCAAACCTCAAATTATGCATTTGGAATACAGTATTCAAATGGGATCTATAAACAATATGTACTTACTGCTCAGTACCACTCTCAGTAGAATAACATTAATAGGGTATCAAAGTCTTACGTTCCAGCTATGCTTTTTCAGCCTGGAGTGGTAAAGTGGCCAACTGCAGGGCATTGGGTGTATAGAGCAGGTCTTCATTAGTAGAATAGCTTACAAGTGGGAACTGCAGCAAACTGTTGCCATATATTAATTTATTTAACAAAATTTATATACCGGATGATTGTAAAACAGCAAGCTCTATGCTGTTTACCACAATATAAAATAAAACATTAAAATTACCTGTAAAAAAATAGTTCAGTCGGGTATTTAAAACTATTAAAAAGAAAATTAAAATCAACACTAGCTAAAAAAAAGAAAAGAAATAAAACACCTGTGACTTCTATATGTCTGGGTAGGCATTCTTAAGCCAAATTTTTAAGCAGGGGCCACATTCTCTTCCAAAGGTGGTGGTATTTCTGAATCTGTATATTGGCTTTGACACAAAGAGTTCTTACTAGAGCTGTGTACAAGTGGCTTCCCAGAATTCTCCACCTTACCTGTGGAAATGGAGGATAAAGCCATCAATGGGTACTAGCTGAGCCATTGGCTGAGCTGCACCTCCATGGCTGAGCCGTGCCTCAATGGGCAGGGGTAGTATTGCTTCTGAGTATCAGTTGTTAGAAGCCATAGTAGGAGAGAGTGCTCTTTTCCTCAGGTCCTGCTTAAGAGTTTCCCACAAGCATCTGGTTGGCCACTGTGAGACCAGGGTGCTGGACTAGATGAGTCATTGGTCTGATCCACTAGGTTCTTCTTATGCTATTGTGCTGGAGAAACTGGGAAGAGTCATGCTGGTGGTGGAGGAACGTTTTGCAAAAGTTCTTCAGCAGGCAGATAACTTATTCAACCATTTATTGGAGGTAGGGCTCACCATTAGTAGTGACATTGGCTTAACTTCTTTTGTCTCTTTTTTGATGGTATATTTTGGTTGTTTCCCACAGCAAGTGGGAGTAGCAGCAACTGTGTTGGCAACCTGACTGCCATTTTGCATCCTGCACCGGAACGTAGTGTCATCCCAGGGTAATGTGGTGGTAGTGGGCAATGAAAACTTATACTAAAAATGTTGGAAAATATTCAGGGAAAACTCTGCAAAGTGGCCTTACTTTTTTAAAGGGGTGGTGGTAGAAGAAAGGAAAAATCTCAGAAGCTTTCTAAGAAAGAAAAAAAAGTTTTCTGAGAAATTCAGCTCAGCGCTAGAACTTCCCACCATATACCTTATGGGTGGGAAGGCTCTCTAGTCATCTTGAATGAACAAATGTTCCTCCTGCAGGGCCTTCCAGATCTGAAATGCCCACCTCTTCTTGTTCTATCTGTATATATGGACAAAATGACATAAAAGACAGTGTTCCCATTCAATATTATGTAAAGGCTTTTAACAGTGTTTTTCTTTCCAGATATAAGAACTTTGTTTTTCCCTGATGAAAGCCACATAAAGTTTGCAGAGCTCAAGACCCTTCAAATACAAGGTGTTTACTCCTATTTATATCTTGTGTCACATACATCCCCCCCCCCCGGAACATAGCTTTGCATACATATATTTTATAAAAAAGCATGTGTGTTTGTATTCCTGCATATGCATATGATTTCTGTCTGTTACCCTTGAATTATTCTAACTTGCAACCACTTGAATGGTGAAAGCTTTGGTGTAGCTGACTTGTCAATCAGTTAAGATGTGAATGGAAAGAAACACTTCTTATACACAATACATCATTAACTTACTGAGGGTTTTTGTTTTTGTTTAAGCATAGCTGTGTTGGTGCATCTGAGAAATTTCATACCCATAGGTGGGCAATAACTTTATATTGACCGACCAACTAGAATATCCCAAAATAGTGAACAAGTTCCTCCAGAGCCTCTTAGCTGGCTGGAGGTAAAGCAAAGCAACAGGAGGGATGTGAAGCTGGTATTGTTGAAGCTGCAAAATATATATGAATTAATAGTCTTAAGGTGGAGTGTAATAGGAGCTAGACTTACTTGGGTTAGGTTTTTCTAGGTGAAGATTTGGTGATGGCAGCTAGCTTAAGTATCCAGGTGGGCCACGTCTGTATTGCTCTGTTAATGCCATGGACTGACTTAGGGAGGTTCACACATATGGAGGGCACAAGTAGCCAGCAAGTGGTGCAAGCAATGGAAGGTTGAGGCACTCTTAGAGAGGAGCAGGAGGCCCCATAGATCCAGCTGTCCTATGTCGTCAGGCCATTGACGCATCTAGCTTGGCATATGTTGACTGGCAGTAGCTTTCCAAGGTTTCAAATTGGAGTCTTTCGCAGCCCTACTGAGACATGGAGACTGACCCATGCATCAAAAACAGGTGCTTTTCCTTTGAGCTATGGTTCTTCTGAATGTAGAAAGCTGCCTTATACCACTAGTTCATCAGTGGTAGCTCAGTGTTGTCTACTCTGTGCCCTACTGAGAGCAGTTCAGGATTATAGACCTGAGTATTTCCTAGCATCTCTTTATAGATGCCAGGGATAGAATCGGGGGCTTTTTAAAAGGATGTGCTGTGCCACTGAGGCTCCGTTTACCCTCAACTTATGTGGGAATTGAACATAGGACCTCTCAAACCGAAAGGGAGAATTGTGCCACTGACTAGGCCAGGAAGCCAGATATTTAGTCATCTGCCTCCAAAAGCACATTAAAATCTCTCTGTGTGTCTGCTGCAGTGTGCTCTAGAACAGCATTCTCCATGCACTTCGATATTGATTTATGTCCACTTGCTGAGCATATTGGCAGCCACTGATTTGGAGGCAGATGTTTAATTCAAGAAGTGGAACAGCTGATGTAGAAATTACTTGTGTGCCATGGGTCTTCAAACATCATGCAGCGTTGAGCACACTAAGATCCCTAAGCCAAGCTCAGAATTGCTCCCAGCACTGAATTGGAGAAACCCACTTAGTGCTATAGTTCCATCTGTGTAGTGTTAGCAGCCACAGAACCTCAGAGTGGAATGAATGCACATATAATGTGGTAAGGCCTAATAGTGGGTTCATGGTCTGAAGCCAAGCCCCTCCCCGTGCACTTTTTTTGTTCAGGAAGCACACTTTGGGATCATGAATCCTTTGACTAGATGTTGACAGCGCATGTAGCACTATTACTTGTGAATGCAACCTCTCCTTCTGACCCATGAGATTTGCACCATAAAGAAACTGAGAATAAATCTATTGTTTAGGTTCCAGATGTGGCCATGTAGCATCTGGGCAAAGTCATCTGTGCACCTGTAACCTAAAAATTTTCTGCATGTTCCAGCATAAATGCTTTAAGTAATACCACAACCTATTTCCTAACGACTTCAAAGGAAGCACGGCCATGCTCAGACTGAAAACATGAATTGTTTGTAATTCTTAAGCATTGTGTATATTAAATGCAATGAGCAATGGGTGGATTTGGGTAGAATATTATGTGTAACCATAGCCAAGGGACACATCTCATGTGTGCACTGTGCAGGAATTGTCAAACATGCACAATGTATGCTTTCAGCTTAAGTCTAGCATTTGGTTGATTTCTTTTTAGTATTTCTATCATCTTGTAATTTCCTCAAGAGAAAAGAAAAGAGCAATTTGTACCTTTATGAAGGGGGAGAAATTGCTAATTGAAACCATGTAATAAAAGAGTAATTTGGGGGGGGGGAGGAACTATTAGTTTTGGGGTTTGTTCATTTTATATATATATATATATATATATATATATATATATATATATATATATAAAACCGATTATTTTTAAAATTACTTTTGTATTTTAAAAGGCTGTAAAGTTGTGTTGTGTGTCAGCACATTCCACCTTCCCTACACATTTCATTTCTGATTTTGTTTTTATTTGCATGAATAGTTAAATCTTTATAAAAATGAGGCTGCAATTAATTGAAACAATTCCAACTGATGTTTTAATGCTTCTGTTTATGTTTTAATAAGTTCCACTGTACACCACTTTCTGCCACCCCCCCTACAGTTAGGGGATGGGTGACTAATGTGCCCCCCATAGGGTTCTCTGTGAAAACAGCTACAGTGCTAATGAAGAGGAAGAGATGTCTAAGCAAGCTTTTGTTAGAGGTTTGTTATGCTAGATTTATAACCAAATGTGGATATAATTTATTTATGGTCCACTGACCACAGATTTTCCTCCTCTTCCTCTTCCTCCTCCTCCTCCTCCTCCTCCTCCTCCTCCTCCTCCTCCTTCTTCTTCCTCTTCTTCTTCCTATACTGCCCTTCATCTGAGGATCACAGGGCGGTTTACAATATAAAACCACAAAAATACATACCATAGTGCCAAATAAAAACAGTACTCCACACACAAGGTTTAAAAGGCCATAAGGTAACGGTAAAGGGACCCTTGACTGTTAGGTCCAGTCGCAGACAACTCTGGGGTTGTACGCTCATCTTGCTCTATAGGCCAAGGGAGCCGGCGTTTGTCCACAGACAGCTTCTGGGTCATGTGGCCAGCATGACTAAGCCACTTCTGGCGAACCAGAGCAGCGCACGGAAACGCCGTTTACCTTCCTGCCGGAGCAGTACATATTTATCTACTTGCACTTTGACGTGCTTTTGAACTGCTAGGTTGGCAGGAGCAGGAACCGAGCAACGGGAGCTCACCCCGTCGCGGGGATTCGAACCGCCAACAAAGATGCCAGGTGAGCGTCCCTGGAGAGAGCATTCCATAAGTGGAGCCACCGCAGAAAAGGCTATTGGTAGTTTATTTCTTGACTACTGCATCCATACTCTAACTTTCCTTTGTGGACCTCAAGGTGGTATACATGGCTGCCTCATGTCCTCATGATGACTTAGGCTGAGAGAGTGTCTCGGGGTCACTGAGAATGCTTCATGACTGAGTGAGCCCTGGACGCACCAGAGACCTGGTGCTGCCCTGACCTTTTGGACTTCCTATTCCATCATTCCCAGTCCTATCTTGAAGGCACAGGGCTGGTGGAAACTGCACTACACTGTACTGACTCTCAGTGTAGTGATGACTGCCACCTAGTATGGCTTTAAAAGGGAATTAGACAAATTCATGGGAATAAATCTGCCAATGGCTGCTAGTCATGATGGCTATATACTACCGCTACAATCACTGGCAGCATGCTCCTGAATTCCAGTCGCTGGGTAACAGAAGTGGGCAACTGCTGCAGCTTGTGTCCTCCTTGCAGGCTTCCCTTATTGATCTGGAACAGAATTATAGAATGAAGGACTAGATGGGGCTTTAGGCTGATCATTTAAGATGTTTTCTCAAAAACTGCAGAACCAAAGGGTTTGCAGCCTTGCTCCAGGGTTGAGGTGTGCTACACACTTCATCAGGTACTCCAACTGGCTTGACCACTTAGGTACATTCATAGGACTGGCAGATCCATGGCAGAGCTCAACTTTTCCCAACTTGGTGCCCTCCAGATGTTTGGGGCTAGGGCTCTTACCAGCCCCAGCCAATAGACTGAGATGATGGGTGTTGTAGTTGTACAACATCTGGAAAGTCACAGGTTCTCCACCCCCAATTTATTTATTGAAACCAGCCGGTTATATTTTTGCCCTGAAGGTCAGCAGCGACAGTCCTGTCATTAGGCAGACTAAGGCAACTGCCTCAGGCATCTGACTTTGGGTGTTGTAAAAGGCAGCAAGTTCTTAGTTACTAAGTTTATAAATTTGTTGTATTTTAACTGCCAGGGAGTGGGAGGGCTGCTTGTGGAAGTTTCTGCCTGATGTGCCCAAATAGTCTGGTTGGCCTAAAGTACAGAACACCTTTGACTTTGGGAGAGAAGACTTCTCAGACAGCAAAATGTGGTAGGCCCCCCTTTCCCTTTATCCCTCCAGATGTGGTGAGACTACAAGCATCACCATCCCTCTCCATTGCCCATGCTCAGTGGTGGAACTGGCAGGGCAAAAAGCCAGGAAACAAAAATCGCTGGGAGCCGGAACCAATGAAAAGTGGAACCAACTAGTGCTAGTTTTGTTCCCCATCTTCCTCCCTGCTGAGTTCCACAAGGGCAACACAGAGGCCAAGGAGACCAAGGATGTTGGCAGGCAGGTGGGGGCCAGAAGAGGGCAGACTGAGGTTTGTGGCATTTGCCCCACTGGAGAAGCCTCCACTGGGTGCCAACTGTGATCGATGGGAATTGTCATCCAAAACATCTGGAGGCAGAAATCTGGGGAAGGCTGGGCTCTGCCCCAAAGGCTACTTTGAGAAACAGTGAACTTTGTTTGCCCCCCTCACACCAACACAGCCACACCAACAGAGCCCCCCCCCCATTTGTAAACTTACTCTTAATGGGAGGATTACCTGAGTGTTTGTTTTCACCAAAAGCCATAATGTAATCTCAGACCTAATACTCTGACAACCGTGCACTAATTAAAACTACAATTTGGTACTCAGAATATCACTCAAGAAATCACTCAAGATATCCCTCAAGTAATTAAGGAACAAAAGAAGAAAAGGCACACTAGCCTGGGAACTTCCTCTTGCCCAGAACATTGGAGGCTATACA